ATGCAGTCCAGCCTGCTCCAATCCATCCTTGACACTAAGACAGAGTATAGTCTGTTCAACACACACAATCCGGGCAAGTCACCTCCAGTCCTTCAAACCTTTTAAAGGCTTTCCACTGCTCCAGGGCAGACCAAGATCCTAAATGTGGCCAATGAGGCCCCACAAGGCTTGGCCCTGTGTCCCTCAGCTTTACTTCCTTCACTCTGTCCTTTGCTCTCCTTGCCACACTGTTCTTCATTTAGTCTTGTTGAATCTTCCAGGCCCTCTTCCACCCAAGGGTCTTTGCGCAGGCTATTCTGTTTGCCTAGAGTGATCTCCCTTCCCTCTCTGCCTAGAATGCCTTCTTGTCCTCAAGGGTCACCTCTTTAGGTAATGATTTCCTAACCACCACCACCATCCTAGGTCATTTGCCTTCACTGCAAACTTCAGAGTCAAGTATTCTCTTTTGTGTTGTGCAGTTATTCAATTAATCTCTGTCTCTTTCTCAGACTGTAAGCTTCACAGGGCAGGAACCAGGTTTGTCCTGTGTTCCAGCAGTTAGCCCATCGCTTGGCACATGTCACCAAATATTTGTTAAATGGCTGAAGGATGGGATCCCTTAGCTACCTCCATGTCTGGGCCCTGGCCTTCAGGATCTTCTGTAAAACTCTGGTCCAACTGTGGACAAAAATTTCCAGGATGGGCCTTAGAACAACTAAAACTAGCCATTATTTTAAAAGATAACGTTATAAAATCAAATTGCAACCACTGTACTCTAAATTCGAGGAACATTTATAAGTCACATTTTGTAAATTTTTGCTTTTAAATCTGTAATTAGCTCCACCTGGATTACTATCAGGAAGATTAAATCTCTCTCTCTCTCCTTTTTCTTTTTTGTTTTTGGTGTTTCTAACCTTCCCAGAATTTTCCAAGGACTCCAACCAAAAGGGCAGGCCTTTTAGCTTCCATGCTGGCTGGGGAGAGCCCTGCTGTCTATCAGGCTTCTTTCTACTCAATGTCCTCTTAGAAAACTAACCACAGGGGCTGGTGCTGAAGCTCTGAGGGTTCAACACCCAGGTCTAGACATTACTCCCCGGCCCAAGGGGTTTCAGGAGCTTCCAGCATTAACCACAGACTTTGTGAAATCAAACTCACCACCACATAGGGTTCAAGGACCTTTGTACCCAGCCTGTTCCCCAAGCCTAGGCTGGGACCCTTCCCTGATGTTGGGGCTCAGGTGAAGCTACCATAGTCCACACTGATCTTCCCAACTTTAAATCTTGAGGCAGAAGCAATTAAGGAGAATACTGGTTCTTCGCAGTCAGGAAACTCTGGGCATCTGATGCAAGGAATCTATCTCATCTCTAGTGATCAGCTTTGTATACCAGGGTTCTGGGGAGAACAAAAGTAGCTCACCAAGACTCAGAGACAATCAATGCCTAGTCACTGCCTAGTGGCACCAACTAAGTGGGCAACTTAAGTGGATTTCTTAAAACTAAGACTAAGAACACCTTCTCTTGATTGAAAAAAAAATTGCACTGTTATAAAAGGAAAATGATTACATAAATAAATGTAAATTGCATAAAGTAGATTTCCCTAGCACAGGTTTCTGAGGTGCAGTCCCAGTAAGAGTTCTGCTCCGATGGTCACTATTCAGCTCCCTAAGTGCCCATCTCTCTCTTTCCTACAGCTAGTCTAGTCGTCCTTCTCACATTCTTCCCACAAATGCTGCAAAACACACTCCTCCACTGCTTCCCCAAACTGCCAGACTCCCCAGCATTTTCCAGTTTAGTTCATCTTCCACTCAACAAATGTTTCTTGAGCACCTACAATGTGCCATGGACTGTGAGTCAGCCATGAGTAAGAGAGAGAAGGTCCCTGCCCTCACGGGCTTACCTTCTAGTCAGAGGCAAATTCCAGGCCTGAAGTCCTAATAGATTAACCCTGGAAAAATGAGGATTCTAATACCCACCCCCAGAGAATTAAGGGAGATCATCTCCAAATAGTACCTAGTTTGAATTTAACTCAAAGTAGGAGATCAACATATTTTTCTTTCCTTCCAGATGTTTGGAGAATAGCATTGCCTTCAATTTTTTTCTTTTTGAGTGTTGCAAGCAATTTTGAGCTCTAATAAATATGGGGAACCAGAATAAAATGAACAAATGTGAGGCAAGTTACAAAGCTGTTAGAAATTTCAAACTCTCACTAGTTTTCCTCCCAGGTGTTCAATGAAAAGAGATACTGTTGTGTTGCTGTTCAACCTTTCTGGAAACTAATTTAACAAAATGTATCAATGACCTTAAATGTCCTCATTTCCCTTTATCTAATCATTCTAACTTTAGGAGGTTTATCTTAAGAAAATAATGACAAACTAGCACAAAGATATGCTTGTACAAAGACATTTATCACAGCTCTATTTGTAATAGCAAAACATAGAGACCATTGTTATTTTTAACAGCAAAACAGTAAATCTCCAGGAATGAGGGAATAATCAAATCATGTTACATATATGAGATAGAATTTGTTCATTTGTTATTAAAAGTGAAGTGTAACCACTGGAATTTTTCCTATAAATTCAAGGAACAATTATAAGTCACATATTATAAATAGTTGCTTTTAAGTTTGTAAGTAACAAACAAGTATTGTGCACCTAATATGCCAGGCCTTGTTCTAGGTGCTAGGACATGGGTGTGAACAAGACAGATAACGTCTCAGCTCTTTGAAGCTCATGTTTTAGAAAGAGGAGACAGAATCTAATAAATAAACACACTAATGTTAAACAATAAGTGCTATGTAGGACACAAAATAAAATAGGGTGATTTGCTAAAGAGATGGGAGGCAGGAAAACTAATCAGTTTGGATGGTCAGGGGAGACCTCCCCAAGGAGGTGACATTTGAACTGAGACCTGAATAACAGGAGAGGACTGGCCACACACCTTCCTCTAGAAGGAAGAGCAGGGGCCAAGCCTTAGGTCAAAGGTTGGAGAGTTTGAGAAGTAGAAGGACCACCTGGCTGGAGGGGAAGGAGCCAGGAACATGTGGGGCAGATGAGGTTGGAGAGGTCTGTGGGAGCCCAGTAGGACTTTGGATTATTCCAAGGATGATGGGAAGGCATTGGAAGGTTTTAAGCAGGAGCGTACCAGGGTGTAATGTGCAGGTTAGGAAAATCACTGGCTGTGGAGAAATTTGATAATATTCAGGAGCAAGAGTGGAAACCCACCAGGGGCTTTGGCAGTTCTGTAGGTAGAGAGTGTGATGACAGTGTCACTGCAGAGGATGAAGATTGAGATGTATTTTGGAGATAGAGCTTGCTAATAGATTGAATAGTAGAGGGGAGAAAGGGGAGGAATGGAGGGTGACTTGTGGATTTTTGTCTTGAGCAATTGGGTCATTATAGTAATACCAAGATGAGAAAAATGAGGAAAGAAGAGTTTGGGGGTGGAATTAAGAGCTCCTTGGGCCACTTTCAGAAGACAGGCTGTGAAGGCAGACTACCAGAGTTCCAATCATATTCTGGACTGTTAAATGATTTTGGACAAATTATCTAACTCCTTTGCCTCAGTTTCATCTATAGAGGGGGCATAATATACGGCCTACATTACAAGGTTACTGTGAAGATTACAAGAGTTATTATATATAGATTAGCGCCTACTTATTTACCCAGTCAGTATTTAGCAAGCATTTATATACACTGACTTCCAAAGGACTTTGCCTTTGTTTGTGTGAAGCCAGTAGAAGGTTTTGAGCAGAATATTGACATGATGACATTCCTGCTCATTCTGGCTGCTGTGGGATGAACAGAGTCTGAAAGGACAAGAGTGGAAGTGGGAGAATGATTAGGATGGGCTGTGATAATCCAGGTGAGAGATGAAGGCAACTCTAGCGGGTGGTAGCAGTAGAGGCGACGGGAGCAGTCAGATTCTGGACACGTGGGTGGAGAGTAGAACCATCAAGACTTGCCGACAGATTGGATGTGGGATGTGAGAGAAAGAAAGGAATCAAGGATGACTTCAAGGTTTTGAGTCTAAGACACTCGGAAAGATGGAATTACCCTTCACTGAGATGGGGGTGGCAGCAGGAGGATATGCTAGAGGGAGCCAGGAGTTAGATTTTGGGTGTATCGCACTTGGAGTGTCTATTAGATATTTAGTAGAGATGTTGAGAAGGCAGCAGATATACAAGTTTGAGGTTCCAGGAAAGCAGCAGGGATGGAGATACAATTTTGGGAGCCAGTGGTCCTCGAAACCATGAGCCTGGCTGAGGTCACGTAGGCAGAGTGTAGCTGGATAAGAGAGAGCACCCGGGGTGGAGCCCTGAGTCACTCTGCACCCTGAGGCTGAGCAGAGGAGGAGGTGCCACTGAGGAGACCACGAATGGCAGCCACTGAGACTCAGGAGGGTGTTGGCCTGGAAGCCAAGACTGGTGTTCCAGTCTTTAAAAATGGTGTTTTCATAGAATATTTAATACTGTGGGGAAATGCTCAGCACAGGCTATGTGGGGAAGCGGCCTGTGAAACATAACATTAACAGTTATTTTCCTGTGCTTCCGGATTATTATTTCTTTACTGTTTTTGTATTTTCTCAATTTTCGACACTGGACATATATTATTTTTGTACAAATTCTTAGATAAGAATATTCTCAGACAAAATAAATATTGGAAGGTGGGTTTTGCTGCTCAGAGAGTACTCCAGCCTATTTCCAGATTAAACACGTACCTGCAAAAGGGACTTTAAGTTCTTCTCTCCTATAGCGGGTGCTGTGGAGAGGGGACAGTCCTACCCCACCCCAGGGGCTTCAAAAGGCTTTGGTCAGCAGCAGCACCCTGCGCTGGGATGGGGGACTGATTAGGTAAAAACTGGAGGGTGCCCTGACACTACTGCTGAGCAGGCACCGTCACTGACACGCCAGCCGCGCTTCTCAGCACCAGGGCACCGGAAATGCCACGTGCATCCCCCAGACAGACTGTGGCCCCACACTGCTTGGCCTGGCATGCACCGACAGATGGACAAAACAGCAGCTTACATTAAAAAACAGTTTATTACCATCTGCGCCACCCCGCACAAGTGAAGACTGGCTCCCTCTCGAGGAGCCTTGGCCTTCCCACCTGAACTCCTGGGGAGCCACTCTGCAGTGGGCCCCCATCTTGGGGCATTGTCCTTGCTCATATGATTCCAGTTCCAGTGCTCCTGGCCTGGGGCTAAGCTCCACCTCGAGATGCCATAGGGATGGCCTCTCCCGAGTGACTGTCACCTCTAGCGTCTGAGAAGAAGCTCCCGCCCCCGGTGGCTGGGGCCACGTCCACCTGGATGACACCATGCACCTGGGAGAGCTGTGGGCTGTCCAAGCTGGCGATGAGCTGGCGGGGGCCTGGTCGCACAGGCACAAACGTCTGTCGTAGTGTCACTGTCTCATTGCCCCCGATGTCCCTGTGGGCAGAGACAAGGTCATGGGCCTCGAGTAACTGGCGGTGCAGTGGGGAGTAAGGACTGATCCAGGGCAGCCAGGAAGGCAGGAGCAGGAAGTGGAGCCATTCGGGCATTTCTGGACTCAGCTGAACTCTCCACACCCAAGGCCAGGACGAAGCCCAAGCCCCACAGCCACCTCTGCACAGCCATGTCAGCAGCAACCTGCCCAGCCGCCTGAGCTGGAAACCTCCCCGTCCTGCCCTCCCACAGCCACCTGCACATCCCAACTCTAGTACTCAGCTCCAACTTACAAAGGAGTGTGGGGGCAAAGGCCCCGCCTGACACCGAGACCAGAGCAGGGAGAGATCTTGACATTCCCAGCCGGAACATGGAAAGCAGTTTCTCTTGACAATAATGTTAGTTATTGCAATATAAAGGTTACTTTCTGAAATATTACGGTTCAATTATAATGTGCCTGTAACCGAGTATAGGTAATGAAGCCAACTCCCTGACAAGGACACCAGAACTTAGACACCGAGGTGAGCATTGTCCTTCCTTTGTTCAACTATGTTGCCGGGCTTGAAACATTTTACAAAATGTTCAGATCCGTTTAAACCATGCACACACGCACACTCAGGCACACACACACAGAGGGGTCCCCCTGTGCCTCGTTTCTGACTGATGGGGCATTACTACCCACCTTGTTCACTTACCTTTGTAATTAGTCTCAGCTCTAAATGACTTCAGGCTTTTTCCCAAAGTCAAATCCACCCCCTAAGAAGGGAGACTGGCCACGCTAAGGACATTCTAAAGGATATGATTCAGGCTCTGGGGGAAATTCCCAGGAAGGGTTTGGAACAGACTTGCAGCCTCCCTGGTGACTGCTTTGGCGGTGACAACAGTCATCTGGAGGAGTAAGTTCTGGAATGTTTATGAAGTGGCCAGGCACCATGCTGGGGTGGCACACCTTACGGTATAATGGGGTTTCATACCACTGCCTTTGATGTGCAAATGAGAGGCCAAGTACACCCATCTTGGAATCTAATAAATCTGAGCCAACAGCTCAGGGACATCCCCCTCAGGCCCCCCGATTGTCCTGGTGGCCCTGGCCTGGGCTCGCAGGAGCCAAGGATCCACAGAATGTCCAAGAAGGACCTGCCTTGAGAAACCGATCATCCAGCCCTCTCATTTACTGTGGGGAGACTCACACAGCCCACGCCTGAAGAGAGGGGCCAGGTCTCCCGGCACTCAGGGCAGTGGTCCTTCCCTTACTTTTGGGTGGGCCAAGAAGCAAAGATGTGGTGGGGCTGCTGAGGGGTGTCTAGCTCTGGGGGTCCTTCAGGATAGCAGGGACCTCCCTCCATCTTCACATGGGTGGGGGTAAGAGATGCCTGCAGGGCCAGACTGGCAAGGTAGGCTATCCAGGCATCTCAGCTCTACTCCCTGAGCCACCAGAGACCCTTTCAGCATGACATGACAAAAGTGCTCCTTTGTAAGGTAACACAGCATTCCCAGGGGCCCAGGATGGGGCAAAGGCCACCACCAGGAGAGCCGCTGTGCGTGAGGGGGAGGGGTCGGCAGGGCGGGCAGGGTTTCTCTCCCTCAAGAGCCCTGTGTCTAAAGAGAAAAACATCTGCCCCACAGAGCTGGTCTAAAAGGTCAGCCCGAGCCTTCTCTGCTGTCCCTCCATGCTTTTCCTGCAGAGGGATAGGGTAGCACATGGGAGTCTGTGTCAGAGATGACAGCCACAGGCCCAGGAACATGAACACTGTGTGTGCCCTCATGGGGTTCAGAGCCTCACCTGGCCCGGGATCAAGTCCAGGCAGGCTGGGTGAGGGCCTGAAGCATGGGGCTTTCTCCTCTGGAACTGCTACTGGCCCTCATGGCACAAGCCAAGCAGCAAGCTCAAGAGCCTCTGTGTGGAGTGCACCACGGTGGGAAGAGCAGAGTCTGCCCCTTACAAGCTGTGGGACCACCAGCTTCCCCATGTGTAAACGGAGGTGATGATGGCAATAATAAAAATAACAACTATCCACGGAGCACTAACTTTGTTCCAAGCACTGCACTAAACTACCCTCGGTCCAGGTGCTATTGCTATCCTTACTTTATAGGTGAGAACACTGAGGCTTAGAGGAGATAAGTCACTTGCCCAAGAGCACACAGCCAGAGAGTGGTGGAGCTGGGACTTGAACCCAGGTCTTTAGGGTTCCAAAGCTTTGTTCTTAGTCATATGATGATCTCTAATATACTTTAAAGGGTTTTCGTGATCTCCAAAGGAGATGATATACCTGCAAGTGCCTGTGCTGAGCAAATGTTAGCAATGAGTTACTAATGATTCCTGGGTGGCACTCTAGCTCAGGGACACAGAGTGTAGCACTGGGCACCCAGCAGATCCTTAAATACTGGATGGACTGAACTGAGTCAGGAGGTACTGCTGCTTTGTTGGGTCCTGGCAGAACACACCTGTCCAGACTGAGCGAGGAAGCAAAGCTGGGACCCAGGGTGGCCATGGGGAAGGCCAGGGCAGCAGCAGGGGCAGGAGAAGAGGCCAGACTCACCCAACATTGAGGATCTTGGGTCTCTGTAACCCGGAGCCCTCTAGCCGGAAGATGACGTTGGTGAGGGTGACAGGCAGGGGGTTCTTGAAGACGATCTGTACTTCACACTCCTGGCCAACCACTGCTGCTCCCAATAACTGAGAGAAAAAGAGGCCCACCCCCCACATCAGAGACCCTGGAAAATCTATGGGGACCGTACCCTGCACCAGAGAGGGAAAACTCCCCAAGTCCCACATAGGCCCCTGAGAGCACGCTCCCCAAAAGTCAGAGAGGAAACTCGAACCTACTCCCCAATGACAGCTACCACAGAATCAGGGATATGAGATCCCATTCTACAGACAAGGAAACTGAGGCCCCAGAACCCAGAGCCAGTCCTTGACCTTTTTCTCCTAGAAAGACTAATCAGGCCAGCCTGCTCTTGGCTTAGCACCCTCCTCTGCTGGCCACTGCTCCCTGGCCACCCCTCTGCCCAGCAAGCTGCACTTACCGTAAGGGAGAGGTCTGGGGTGCGCAAACGGAAGGTGTGCTGCTTGGCCAGCACCTGCCCATTCTCCTTGACGTGGCCTGAGACATTGAGCAGCATGGCCCCCTGGTCCACCAGGTGGGGCTGGTATTCCTTGTAGGCCACAGGCATGGCCACGTGGTCCGCTGGGGAGAAAAGGCATGGCATCACCAAGGCCTGCTTTCCCACATGCGCCCCCCAGGGTGCTCCTCATTGCTCTGGGGGTCTCCATGTCCACAGCCCTGGGGTGCCTGGCCATCTAGGCAGGGCTGGATGAGGAGCACTTACAGGCCCCTGGTGCCAGCACCACTTCCTTCTTGGTCTCCTTGAAGATGGTCCCAGTGACGCCAGTGTAGAAGGTGACCGAGAGGTAGAGGTGCAGCTTCACAGTGCGGCGGCTGCTGCTGCGATTGGTCAGCAGCACAGAGACCGTCAGATCCTGCCCCATCACTGCGTCCTGCGCCTCCACCTGCATCGCCACATCCTCTGCTGAGTCCCGGGTGGCATACACGTTGGGTTTGCTGCCATGGGCAGCTGCCGTCTCCACTGCCTTCCGCTCTGCTTCTGAGCCTGGGGGTTGAGGGTCAAGGGTGAGGTTCTAGCTCCCGCCGGGGGTCGGGGGTAACTGCTCAGCAGGAATACTTGGTGTGGGGCCCAGAGCTGGCTGGGGTAGGGGATAGTACCTTCTGGGTGCTTATAGGTGTGGGTGACATCCTCCCGCATGTTGGAGCCGATGGCCTTTGTGACGATGAGGGAACCGATGGCCTTCTCCTCCACATATACAATCTTGAAGCTGCCATCGTCCTGCCGCTGCCAGTACACCTTGTCACTATTCACCTGTTAGGGGTGTGGGGGGTGAGCAGGAATGAGTGGGCCAGAGGGCTGCCTTCCCTGACCCCAGGAGCTGTGGGGCAGGGCTAGGTCCCAAGTGTGGGAACTTCCTGGCAGAGCCCAACCTGGAGACGTTCCTGAGCTGAACCAGATGAGGCCAGAGAGCAGGGAAGAAGCTGATCTGGGAGGCTCCTTGCATTTGGGCATTAATAACAGTAATCCCTTATACTTGTTTGCTGGCTTTATGACTTGTGAAGCAGTTTCATACCCATTATCTCTTTTGATCCTGAGTACAGGAAGCAAGGCAGCCATTATTATCCTCTTTTTACAGTTGCGGAAACGAAGACTTGTAGAATGGAATGAGCGACTTGCCCAGGGTCACACAGCTAGTCAGTCAGCAGGGAAGTCAGGACCTGAGCCAGCGCTCTGGTCACTCCAGACAGCCTGAGGAGGCACCTGGAGGCCAGCCCTCACCTCGGCAAAAATGAAGGGCGTGTCGTACTTCATGTAGACCAGGCCATTCTTGACGGACTCCACGGAGCAGGGGCCACAGCAGAAGATGCCTAGGGAGTGAGGCAGGACATAGGTAACAGAATGAGAGATCTGGGCAGGCCGAGAGTGACCCTCAGGCCCTGGGGAGAGGCCCACACAGGGGCCATCCGGGCCCAGTGCCCATTTGGAGTCTCCAACCCCGGGAGGGAAAACAAAGAGGAGAGCAGCTGCATTTGGCTATGTCAGCTGTGCTCAGCCCAGGCTGCTCTGCTGGAGGACAGGGCAGGGAGCAGGGGTGTGGACAAGCCTGACTTGGTGACCAAGTCCTTGGGACACTTATTCTTGGCTGGCTGAAGTTGGATGACCACTGTCTGTGACCCCTAGAGGACAGGCCCCCCACCCTTAATCGGGTCCAAACCGGAGCCCACAGTGGTGGCTGGGATCACAATGACACCACCACCACTATTCCAGAAAGGTACAGAACAACCCCTCAGCTCTGCAGACTGTTGTGTCCTGTCTATTGGGGAGTTGGGGCAGGGGAACTGGTGGGAAATAGATTCTGTCCTTGTCATACTCAGGAGGGTTTCCTAGAGGAGATGAGCTGACGGGAGGGGGACTGGCAGAAGAGGACAGAGCCAGAAGTGAGGGCCATCCAACAGGAAAGAATGTTAGACAACACCTAACACTGTGCACTCCTTCACAGACGGGGAAATGGGCCCAGCGAGGCCAAGCGTATGCCAGGATCTCACAGGACAGTAGGCAGAGACAACCTAGAAGGAGCTAATGTTTACTGAGTACCTATGATGTTCCAGGCATGCTGCTAGTCCTCTCTGATGTATGATTTCTCATTTCATCCTCCCAACCACCCTATATGGTATCTGTTATTCCTGTATTACATATAAAAACACCAAAGCTTAAAGGTTGCAGGTGCTTGCCCAAGATCACACATCTGAGAAGAGATCAAGTTAGAATAGAGCCCTAATCTGGCGCCTCCAGAGCCCCCTGCCTGCCATCCACCCCACCACTTCCCAGAGTAGGGGCCAGAACTCAGATCTCCCAGCATCTGGGCCACACTACTCCAGGATCGCAAGCATGGAGGGTTGCACAACTCAGGGGACACTGTTCACATAGATGAATGGGAGGGAGCGGTGTGAGAAGAGACCAGGAGAGGAATGTAAGCTAGGCAAGGGCTCTGTGACCTGGGACAGGGCTCTCTGACCTGGGGCAAGGAAGAGAGAGGCTGGACAGAGGGCAGCTGCTGGGGCAGGCTGGCAGCCTGGGGCTAGAGTTTCAAGGGGGGAGGGGGGTGCTGTGTGAGAACAGAGTGTATTTTTTCAGAAACACATGCGTGGACACAAAAAAGAGACTGGTAGATTATGTCAACAGTGATTATATCTTAGGGCTGGGTCAGAGGGGCCATTTTCTTCTTTGAACGTATGTGAGCCCTGATTTTTTTCTATACCATACGCATAACTCACAGTGAGCAATGGAACATACAGGAAGGAATGGGTGAAGTGAGAGTGCATGTTAAAAGGGAGGGAGTCAGGCACCAGATTCGCTCAGTTGCTGACCTATTACTGCTCTGTGCCCCAGAGAAAGTCACTCCACCTCTCTGGCCACCGTTTCCCACATCCCATAGGGCTTGGAGCGGGTCCCAAGCCTGGCTGGTCTTCAGAATCACCAGGGAAACCTTCCAAAATATACGTTACTGGAATATATTCTCAGAAAGTCTAATGTATCAGGTTTGGGGTGGGACTTAGGAATTTACTTAAAATCTTTTTTTTGGAAAAAAACCAAAAACCTCCTGAGAGAATGGGGAACATTTACACTTTGTGTTACTCAATTCTATGGTTCTTTTTCCTTCTGTGCATGCATTACTCATAATAATGACTTTTTTAACTTTAAAAATATATAAATAAAAGATAAAAGGGTACTTCAATTAATTATCTCCAGGATATATTAGTGAAAAAAGCAAGTAAGAATAGTGGATTTGGGATGGAGGGAACCTCTCACTGAATACTCTTAAGTCTTTTTACTTTTGAACCTCCTGAGTATATTAACCATTATAAATAAATAAATAAAATTTAGGCAAATAAATAGTTACATAGAAAGGCGAAACTAAACTAACAGCTGCATGGTGGTTCAGTTAATTAATAAGTCTGTTTAAGAAGCTGAGGGGTTATACTGTGGATTTTGTCACCCAGGTGGGGGAGATGGGCAGGGGCCCGGGGGCCCAAGGGCCAGGCAGGGCCCTCCTCACCACTGCTGGTCTCCTGGGGTGTGGCGTCCACAACCTGCCACCCATCGAAGCCTGAGGGCAGGTCCGGCCTCTTCATCCAGCAGTCATTCCACACATGGAAGTTCCTGGATGGGCACCAAGGGAGGGCTGGGTCTGAGCCTCCTGTCCAGGGCCTCCCTAGTCCCCCGCCTGCCTGCCCTCCACACCCAAGCCTTCGGACACTGTTCCTCTGCAGGGATGGGCAGTCCGGCCCCAGCTCACCAAACAGAATCGTGGTTCAGGTGCTCAAGTGGCTTCATGTTCTCATCAAAGTAGATGTCCATGGTGAGGGACGTGTCTGTGTCATGTGCGGAGTTGAAGTTGGTGACCGTGCGGGCGGCCAAACCCAGGCATCGCAGCACTGTGGAGGAGCGGGGGTGGGTTTGAGGGCAAGGCAAGGGGCAGGTGAGGCATCAGATCAGGAATGTCAGGGGGAAGGGCAACTGGGACTGCCCCGCTAGGCATGGGCTACCATGGTCAGGGTCGCCAGGTTCAGGAGGCCTTTGGGCCACAGAGCACTTGGGATTAGGGGAAGCTACGCCACCTGGCTATGTCCCTGCCTGTCCCTTCTCCCTCCTCTCGCTTAGGCCTCTCTCTGTTGTTAACACTAATTAATGATAATTAAGGCCAACCTGTGTCCACCCCCACCTGTACCCTGCACTGTAGCGACAGCTGGGCCTGGCTGGATGAGGGTGGAGCCTGGCTTCCCTCCCTCCTCCTCATAGGGCCCAGACCACTCCTGTCCCAGGTCCTCCTCTACCTGTGGTGGTCACGCCAGCAAAGACCCAGCACTGGCCATAGGGCACAGAATAGCCCGTGCGTAGGTAGCTGAGCAGGATCTCCACGCTGCCCACCCACGCTGATGGGTTGGTGCCTTGGGAGTAATCACCAGACCAGTTCCCAATCAGGACTCCATTGTCATCCAGGGAGTTCACCTGCCCAGGACAGGATGGCGTGAGGACGAGCTGGGGGTCGGGCTCAGGACCTGCCATGTTGTCCCCAGCCCAGCCCCTGACCCTGTAACCACCCCTCACCCCTAAATGCCTCAGGATCTAGACATCAGCCTGAGCCCCACCCACCTCTCCCCTGAGCCATATGCCCTCCCACCCCTGGTCTGACACAGGAATGCGAATCCTGGGTGTGCCAAGTTTTGGGGCTGGCCCTACATTCCACAGGAGCTGGGATAGGAGCCAGGAAGGGTGGGGTGGGGTGGGGTGGGGGGCAGGTGAGGGAGAGAAGAGGAGGAGTGAGACCCCTTCCTGCAATACCCTTTGCAAGGGCAGGGCCAGGGCTGGGGATCCTGGAATCCAGAAAGGGCAGGGCCAGGGGCTGGGGCAGGGAAGGCAGCAGGTGGACACACAGCAGGGCTCAGAGACACGAAGATGCTCACCATGGCAGAGATGACCCGGGAGACATTGACTGGGTCCCCGCGGCCTCCATATGGCATCCCCCGCCGGTCCAGAATGTACAGGCAGGCATCCAGCACTCCGTGGTCAAACTGGAAGGAGGGAGGGGGCGCAGAGGTGACAGTGGGCCACAGTCACCTCTGCCCTCTATGGCTGAGCACTAACCCTAAGCCAGCACCCTGCCCCATCCCTACCCCCTGCTCCCAAATTCATGTGACCCTGGCCAGCCATACCTGGCCATAGTTCCAGGTCCGCTCGCCAATCTGCGCCTCGGTCCCGTAGTAAATTCTCCCCGACTCGTTAAGCACGTACTCCTGCCGCCAATCCTCATGGTCCACATACACGATGTCCTCTGTGTCCCCAGAACACATATCTGGTTCCCTCCAGCCCTCTCCCTGGGCCCCACACGCTCCTCGCCAGTTCTGCAGGACTTGTGTCCGCAGAGGAAAATCAGCGGATGCCTCTAGCCTGATGGGCCTGCTCTTGGGGGAAGGTTGGCCATAGCCAGGGCCCTTCACCAGGAGGGGTGAGACTGGCTGTGTGACCTTGAGCAGGTCACCATTCTGCACTGGGCCTGCACTGCACCTGAACAACGGGAGGCTGGCTTCTCCTAGGCCAACACCTGGGCACCCATTCGGGTCCTAGGGAAGGAAGCCCTGCCCTGCCCTCCTACCCACCCTCTGCTCCTGAGCCCACTGCTCACCTGGGCACCAGGGGTTGAAGAGGATGTAGATCTCATTGCGGGGGTCAAAGGGCAACTGGAACTCCCCAGCGTCTGTGTGTGTGCGGACTGTGAACTGGAACTTGCCGATGATGGCGTTAGGGGAGGTGTGGACCCGCAGATTCAGGTCTTTCCCACTGGCCTTGGTCACCTGGGCCTTCCAGCCCCCGCTGCCTCCCTTGCCCACGGGGATGATCACGTGAGTGCCCTTGCCCACCTCAGGGTTGTTTCCTAGAGATGGGAAGTGGGCAATTAGCTGGTGAGGCCTCCCTGAGGAGAGGGGATGGAGCTTTGCTTTCTCCCAGCCCCACCCAAGGTGTGTGTGAGCCACTGTGTCTGTGTCCCTGAGTTGGACTAACACCTTATTCTGTGACAGTCTCCCTCAGAGCAGGTCTGTCCCCACCCAGTGCTTGCCCACATGCCAGGGCAGGGCCCCAGTCCAACATCCCAAACCTGTTCCCCTGATGCTGAACTCAGAGGTAGGGAGGAGAGACCAGGGCCGTTGTCACACTCTGCCTGCCTGCCTGTCTCAGTGCCTGGTGGGAGGGGCAGAGCTACCCAGGCCAGCTGCAGAGCCCCCAGCCACATACACAAGGGCAGTCCAGATCCTGAAGGCCAACCCTGCCTGCTCCCTATGGCTGCAGCTTCCAGAGCCCAGGGCGTCCCTGGTGGAGGTGGTGGGGATACCTGGGAAATTAGAGGCTGAGGTGGGCAAGGTTAGGTCCTAATCAAAGGGTAAGAAGAGTTGCCTGCCCCCGGCAGTGGCATAATCACCAGCCTGGGAAGTCAACGGCCACTAGGCAACACGGTGAGGGAGCCACCTGCCCTGGGTCATGGGGACAGAGATACAGAGACTGAGAGAGACAGAGTTGGGGGTGGAGGTGGAGGGAGAGAGAGAGAGAGGAGAAATCCAGCTACGACCTGGGGAAGAGCAGACCTGGAAAGGACACAGCTTGAGGAAACAATGCTCAAGGAAACACGGTGGCAGACCCTGAAGAAGGACTCTGAGACAGATGCCCCTGGAGGCTTGAGGAGGGTGAGCTTGGGACTGTCCTGAGACACACCCCTAGGGGCACACACACACCTGCACCTGCCTTATCTGGCAGAGGTGAGGAGTAGGACAGGGAAGGAGCCTAAAGACCTCTCTGACCCTAATGCCAGCTCCTTCCCCCCAAATCTAGGGCCTTTGCCCTTCGCGATCCAGGCCCCACTGACCGATGAGCAGCTCAAGGGTGATACGATCGGAGGACTCGTAGGGCCGGGACAGGAGGATGACTATGTGGAAAGGCTGCCCGCGGCGCACAATCAGCTCGTCGTACTCGAACTCGTCCGTGTGGTGCTCCCGGCGGTTCTGGTCTGAGCGTGAGCTCAGCAAATCCACACCGGTCACCACCAGCATGCCCTCTGCAAGGCCACAGCTCTGGGTCAGTGGAGCCCCCAAGGGGAGCCCAGGCCTCATCATCAGCCTCCCAGCCCCCCAGAGAGGCCAGGATGAGTCTCAGGTCCCCATTAAGGCCTTTCCGCTCTCAGTCGAGGTGGACAGGTTGGCCTCACCTCGAATGGTGCCATCTCCTGCTGCGTTTACACCGCTGCCCCGGGAGACAGGCCGGCGGGAGTCTGAGCCCCCAGAGTCAGTTCTTCGACCCCCAGAGCGGGACCCTCGACCCCTGGAGCCAGAGGGTTCGGGCCCCCAGTCATCATCCGCCACATTTCGGCATGAGCAGCAGCCACAGCAGCGAGCCCAGAAGCCTCTTCTGTGAGAACGTCTGTCTGGCTCTGGCTCCGGCTCTGGAGAAGGCGTGGTAGGGGGCTGCAAGGGGTTCCCGCCCCAGCGGCCCACATCTGAACGAGGCCCGTCCATCATCCCTGTGAGGAAGAGGCAGGGAGGCTCTTTACCCAGAAGGCCCCAGCCAGCCCACTCAGAAACCCTGACCCAGACAATCTGACCTTGACTGGGAGGTTCCGCACCCCCACCCCCTGCATCTAGAGACCCTTTCCAAAGACTCCATTCGGACTCACCCAGAGAAGCTTTCCATACTGGGAGAGGAGCCTTCCCCCCACTCCCATGTAGACATCTCCCAAATCACATCCAAAAAACAGATGCCCAATGGAGAAACCCACTCAAGGATCCATCCCAGGAAATGCACATAGTTCCTTTCATGGACACTTGTCAAAGCCTCAAGATCCAGCTGCACGGACAGACGAAGGGTGCCCCAGCATCTTTCCACCTGCCAGCTCCTCAGTCTAGAGGTCCACGACACTGACCGCCTCTAGGACCCACTTCTTAGCAGAGATCCCCCACTCATGGCTCCCCACAACACAGGCAGGTGGCTGAGGTCTGGGGTCCTTGGCATCCCCATATGGGGGCAAACTCCCTGCAGGGCTGCCGGCAGGGGCGGGGTGCGGCAGGTGCGCGGAGCCCGCGCTCGACTGGGGGAAAGCGGAGTCTCAGCGTGCCTGGGCAGCCCTGCGTGGCTGACAGGTTGGCCGCCCGCACCCCACCTTGCTGGGGTTGGACCTTGGCGCGCGGCCCCCAGACAGCGACGGCCCCAGGGCTCAGCACTGCTGTGCCGGTTGGAGCCCCTCACCTGGCAGCGGTATTGGCGACGGCAGAGCTGAGTGCTGGCGGGACAGATGGGACGGGATGGGGCTGGACGCCGCCGCCTGAGTAGAAGGTGTGGGGCCAGCCGGGTGAGTGATTTATGAGGGGGGAGGGCGGGGCGAGCTGCACGGGTGAAGGGGAAGCCTGGTTGCACCAACCCCTGGAGGAAGAGGCCCGGCCTCCGGGGGCTGTCTCTGGAGGTAGGGGCGGGAAACTGTGGCCGGCCCCACCCGCTTTCCCCTTTCTAGGAACTGAGCTGATGCTGGGCAAGAGGTGGGGTCTGTCAGGGCTGAGGCTGGGGAGAAAATGGAAGGCTTTGGTGGGGTCCACGGCGCTCTCGGCGGATGGACCCCACACCAGGCCGATTCCTGCCAGACCTGGTGTGTGAGGAGCCCCTTTTCCCAGATGAAGAAACTCAAGGACAATGGGGCAGGGGGCCCCGTCCACCCACACCCCCGTCTGGCCCACCCTGTGGCCCCAAGCTCGCTGCATACCTCTGCTCTCACAGGCACCTGCTGCCACCACCCTGCAGCCCAGGCCAGGCTCTCCTGTGAAACTGGCCCACGGGCCTGGGCCTGGAACTTATCCTGCCAGGGAGGTCCCAGGATCCTAGACTGCAGACTGGTGACATCAGCAGCCAGGCCCTCAGACTGGCTCCACCAGCCAGCCCCTGACCTGCCGGCTCTTCCAGATCTGACCCCCACCCCCTTCTATCTCTGCTTCCTCCTGCTGCTCCACAGCCCCCGGCATGAGTGAGCTGCCCCCAGCCCCTCAGTTTGGAATTAGGGGGATCAGAGTGGAGCAATCTCGTTTTCTCCCCCCAGCCTGGACGCATGCGGGAGGCGTAAGTGGGACCCGAGGCTCCCTCCCAAGGCTGCAGAGCATCCCCTTCTCTCAGTGAGAGGAGTGTCTGGTCAGCTGGAGTCGAGGATTCCCCTCTTCTCCAACCTAGAATTTTTCCTGGGAATCCAGACCAACCGGCTACAGGCACCTCCCTAGTGTTCATCCTAACTCCACCCCTGACACTGGGAGAAATGCCAGGGATGCCACTAAGACAACCCCAAGCAGAGAGGCGGTTAGGCATCCTCCAGCAGACGCTCTGTGGCTCCTGCTCTTAGGTCCATCACCAAGGGGCCTCTCCCTTCCATCCCACTGGTGTCCCTGCTCTGCCCATGTGCCACCAAACAGAAGACAGTGAAAACAGGGTTGGCAAGAAGGCACAAGGAAGCAGACTCCAGGAGAGGCTGTTTGGTGACGCAGGCAGGGAAGTGCCTCCCAGAATAGGGACAGAGAGACTCCAGGACCTGGCAGGGAGCCCTCCACACCCACACACTACACTTTTCTGTCCAGCTCCAACCCCCAGAATCTTGGGGCAGTGGGGGGGTCCTGCCCCACCTCCAACACTCTCAACGGACACATCAGCAGGAATCAAATTCCAGCAGGTATGAAGCAGGTCAGCCAAAGGGCTTCATTGAAGGGCTGGGTATGCATCACTTTGGATACGGGAAGGGGCAGGGCCCTGACTGTCCGGATGTGTGTGAGCACACGTGGGCCCAGGCAGATCCCACAGAAGCAGGAAAATGCCTTTGTCACACTCTCTCCCTCTCGTTTTAATCAATCTTTCTCTCTCCCCACCCAGCCAGGTTTGACTCAGTGTCCTAACCCCTGAGCCGCTCCCCTTTCCTCCCTCCAGGAGGCCCGGTGCCTCAGGACTTTCAAAGTCAGGACAAGGTGTTTGTGGTGGGGTGGGGGTGGGGGCACCATGGGAGCAGATACCCAGCTGGTACCTCTGCGAGGAGGCCAGGCTGCTGCCCAACCTTTCCCTGTCAGTACAGAAGCAAGAACATGAGTCTAGAGTCCCTGACCAAGGGGCAGAGATGACTTCCGTTCCAGCACTCAGGAGCTCAGTAACCTTGGGCAAGCCCTAGCAGCAGTTTCCTCGTCAGTACAATGGGCTCTCATCCCTGACAGCTTGCGAGGCCAAATGGGATCAAGTGATTTCAAGGGCTCTTCAACCGCAGAATGCTATTCATGGGCACTGACACTGCTGTTATAACAGGGCGGGGCAGGGGCGCCCTGGCCCATTCTCCCTAGGAACACGGAGCACCTGAGCCTTCTCAGCTGTGGTGGCTGAGGGCCAGGGCAGAAAGGACATCGGAAGGGGCAGAGGTCATGGGAAAAACTTTTATGAGCCTTCCAGCTGGAGAGACTTACAGTGGCTTTGTAGCTCAGCCTGAACCAGAACCTGAGCCCAAACCCTATCCCAACTTGGAACCTGAACCTAGCCCCAAACTAGAAGATGAACTCAACTTCAGCCCTTACCCTGAATTCTGCCCCAAACACTGAGGCTCTGGCTCTCCATGACAGGGAACAGCAGGAAGGAGAGCATTAAACGAAAGCAGAGAGGGTAAGCTGGCACACCCCAAGTCTCTTCCCTTTCTTTTCCCAAAACACGCGGCAGTAATGATGGGGTTAGTGGGACAGTGAAGTAGTGGTGGCGGCGACAACAGCTTGGTGGCCTGAGAGGGCCTCTCCATCCTTTATTCAGTCCCAATAAGTTAAAGGGCAAGGGTGGGAGGCAGGGCCTCTTAGGTGAGGATGCTGCTAACTGAGGGCAGCAGTTCGGCCAGATGCTCCGAGATGCCCACTGCTTGGCACAGTGGGTTGCCCTGCAGGTCAAGGAGGATTAGTCTGGGGCAGGAGGCAAGAGGCTGGAGTGCTGCAGGCTGCTGAAGGCCTTGGGCAAAAGAGTCAAGGAAAGTTTTAAGTTTCCCTCCATCTGTCTCCTCCTGTGCATGCTCAAGATCTAGGGACTGCTGCCTGGAAGTCTGTTTGATGGGCATCTCGTAGGCTTCCCTGGAGGGAGTAGGGCTCCAGGTGGGTACTGCAGACACCTGTCCATGGGGCCAGGCCCGAAGCACATGAAGCAGGCCGTGTGTGCTACAAGAGGAGTGGTGGAGACTGTGGCAAAGCGGAAACCTAGCTTGGTCCAAGGAGGCATTCGCTGTTCAGCGATGATCAAGGGCTGCCGAGTGGAAATACAGGTGAAAGATTGCTCTAACTTCCAATTTTTAAAAGAGGAATCAGAATTCTAGATTTTTTACAAATATGAAACTTCCTGATTTTTAAACTACTACATGGTCACCAAGAACATCTACCATTTGTGAACTCTGGCTTAAAGAAGTCATTTACACTCTGCAAATCTTCACCAGTGCGAGTCAGTGACAGCCCCACACAGCTCCAGGCTATTATTATTATTATTTTTTAGACAGGATCTTGCTCTGTTGCCCCAGGTAGACTGCAGTAGTGTCATCATAGCTCACAGCAACCTCAAACTCCTGGGCTCAAGAGATCCTCCTGCCTCAACCTCCTGAGTAGCTGGGACTATAGACACGTGTCACCATACCTGGATAATTTTTTCTATTTTTAGTAAAGACATAGTCTCACTCTTGCAGAGGCTGGTCTTGAACTCCTGAGCTCGAGTGATCCTCCCGCCTCGGCCTCCCAGAGTGCGAGGATTATAGGTGTGAGCCACCTCGCCTGGCCAGCTCCAGGCTATTGTCTCTCTTCAGCTCACACTGCCAGAGTCCCTCTCTCCGGCCCCGCCTCAGGGTGGTGGGTACCACCCTATTTGCTGTCTCTCCCCAGGGCGAACCCACACCCCACCTGCTGTCTGAAAGGCACCCCAAAGGAAGGATACGGTTGTTGCACAGTAGCAGCTCCTGCAGCCGGGGCAGGTTGGTGACGCCGTCCAGGGACTCTATGGCATTATCGTTGGCCTGCAGCACCTGGGAGGCAGGTGGCTATCAGCCTGGGACTGGGACAGCAACCGAGGAACGCAGCCTGATCAGCTTACAGTGCACAGAAGGGCTGATGAGGTCAGGCTGGGTGACGTTGGGGGGAAGGCAAGCGGTCTGCAGGGGCTGGGAAGTCTTGGGCATCTCTATGTAGGTGGCAGACTTCTCAGGTGGAGGAAGGGAAAAGGACCTCCCAGGACAGCGATGGAGGAATGAGTGCTTTACCTCAAGGCAGCGCAGGGCGGACAAGGCAGGTGGCAGGGCTCGAAGACGATTGTATGACAGGTCAAGATGAGTGACCAAGAGCAGCTGTTCCAGGTGGCAAAGCACTGTCAGATCCTGGAAGGGGGGAAGGGAGGGGACAGGCCACCCAGTGAGACCTGGGAGAAGGTCTCAGCTACCATTTATTAGGTACTTGCCTACTGTGCCTCACACAGGCCCTTGGGACCCGAGCTGAGGAGAGAACAGGAGCAGGCGGGAAGCTTACCTTACAGCTCACAGCAGTAGCTGCTGCACGTCATGGGAAAGACAGTGAGGGCTGGGGGTGGGGTAGCGGGGAGGAGGCGGCCTGGAGTGCGGCAGGTGCAGAGGACAGTGGAGGGTGCTGGGTAAACAAAGACAGTGGGAGCGGACAAACTGAGTCTGGGGATGGGTTTGGTGGGGGCAGAGGTGGGCTGCGGTGATGTCATAAAACTGATGTCTTGGGAAGGACTAGAGACAGAGGAAAAAATGGAGCCTGGACAGCTTATTAGAAATCTCTGGAAACCATTTGGCCTTTAAGTGTTGGTGCCCACTCCAGGGTGAGAAGCACAGGAATGCGTGGGGGGACGTGGGCCAGGGGTCACTCTATAGGAAAAATGCAGCTGTGACTGGCCCAGGGGAAGGGGCAGCATGAGAGGCCCTAGTGACTCAGGATTTGAAACTGAGGGACAAGACAAATGATAGGCTGAGTGACAGAAGCAAGGCCTGGAAGAAGAGCAGGCTGCAAGGAGGGATGGATTCCATCTTGATTGGGAGAGGTCCAGGAAGGCCCGAGACTGAAGGCAACGCCAGAGACGTGGGGAGGCCGGCCAGCGGGGCGAGGGCCTGGGGAAGGCGCGTGCCGCAGCCCGTACCTTGTGAGCCAGGTGCAGCACGCGCACCTCGGCATACTCCATCTTGAGCACACTGTTCTCCAGCAGGAACTTGCTGCGCAGGTCGTCCAGGTAGGCTGCCCGCATGGGGTCTACAGCCTGGAGGGGATGAGGTGGGCCGGGCATGCACGTCAGCTGCCTTCCTCCTGCCCTCTGGCCTCCCCTGCCTGTTCCCGCAGGCCCAGCTTGCCTTGAGGGTCTGGAAGTATTGCAGCGTCTCCTTCTCATACAGCAGGGGGTCCAGCGCCCGCATCAGCAGGATGATGGTGAGCAGGCACCCTGAGGAGAGGGCGGGCAGGAGGCTTTCTCCTGCATCCTCCTCTGCCCTCATCCTCTAGACACCCTTCCTGCTCTCTCCAAGGGGCCACCCTGGAAAGGGGCCTGCTTAGCAGGGCTGTGGGAACAGGCTCTCAGGGAATGGGTCTCACATTTATTTTCAGGCTCCAGTTCCTGCAGCTCCTTACAGGACTCAAGCTCAGACTGTAGCACTGTGGACTTCTCCACCGACAGCTCACACCTGGGGGTGGGCAGGGTGGGGACGCAGTGATGCCCACAGCCCTGGGGGACTGGTTGTCCCCAGGATCTAGACTGGGACCATGCCCCAAAGCCCAGTCTTCCTGCCCCAGTTGATTGATGCCCAGAGTCTAGAGCCCCCGTCCTTGTCTGTGTGCCTCCCCGTCATCACCTGAACAGCTGTTCATCCGTGGTGGAGTCACGGCACCAGCCTTCCTGGCGGCCTGAGGGAAAGAGTCGGTGGTTGGAGGGGACATCGCCAGAGGAAGAGAGGGATGGGGGCTGCTGCAAGGGGTGGAGGCTGCAGGTTACGTCACCTTTAAAAAGAACACACTCTTTCTGGGCATCGCCTGCTGTCCAAATGACACGAAATGTATGTTGGGGCAACTGGTCATTGAGGGAGGCGGCAGGCAGGTCACAGAGCTGGGAGCACTGGGTCAAGGAAATGCCCCAGCCACACCACTTTTCTGACTGTCTCACCCAGCCCTGCCCACGCCCCCACTTCTGTTCCACCAATGCTGGGATACCCAGACATGGCTGGGCCGGCTCCTGCCACCTGGGGTCCTCCACTCCACGATCAGAGGTGACTCATCAACCAAGAGTAGCAAGGTCTCCGTCCTGGAGCCCACCTGGCACAGGGACAAAGAGAGAAGACCTGTCAGCCCCAACAACCCCAAAATCCCACGATGCTCTCCAGCAAAAGCTGCAGCACTCACTAGAAGGGGCCGAGAGAAGGAGACAGTCAGACAGGCCTCGTCCCGGCTCACATGCAGGCAGTGCAGCGCATCCTGGGGGTCAGCTGCAGGGAGACACAGCCTCAGGTCTCCTTAAATCCTCTTCCATTCCTCCTAAGCCCCAAACACTCAGCCTCTTTCCTCTCTGCTTACCTCGGCCCAGAAGCCAGCGGTGATAGAACCAGGCACTCTGATCATTGGGGTCAGTGAAGAAGGCATTCTGCACCAGCTCCAGCTCTGCGGGAGGCATGGGCTGTGGCCATGATGCTGGTGGGCTTCTGGCCGCCCCAACACCGCACCCTCTCCTTTGAGTATCTCCAGCCCTCAGTTTCACTTATATGCTGGCCTTGCACAGGGGCTGCATATGTCAGTTTTATCTTTCCCATCAGACACTTGAGCTCCCTGTAGCCAGGGACTCTGTCTCATGCAAAGTAGGTGCTCAGTAAACCCAAGTGACAGGCTCAGAGCTAGGCCAGGCATCAGGGTAGGAAGGGTGGTGCTGCAGAGTCCTCCCCAACACCCGCGCCGTGCTTACCTTTGAGGAGCACATCCTCAGGGAGGCGCCCCTGTGGTCCAGAGTCTGGCTGAGGGTGTAGCTGGGGCAAGAGGCAGGAGCGGTAATGCCAGGAGGAGTAGTTGGAGAAGTTTCGGGTGATGAGGCTGTCAGTGAATGCTAGCTCTTCTGCAGGGGGCACGGCTGCCTGTGCGGCCACAAATCGCCGATAGTCCCAGCAGTGAACTGAAGGGGAGAGGTGACAGCATGTCTTAGAAGCAGAGCAAGAAGAGCTACCTGGCTGGTATCCCCAGAGTTCCCTTGGGGACCCCCTAGAAACACCTCGATGCACTCAACAGGGGGCGCATTTGGCTCCATAATCCCTTTTGGCACCAGCTCAGTGAGCCCATCCTGGATATCCCTCCCCACTCTGAGCCTTACTGAGGTCCCAGTATCAGGATGTGGGGCAGGTGAGGGCTGTGGGGACAGAATCCACAGGCACATACAGTTCCGCTCATCGACCTCCAGGAAGCGGGCACACAGCTCCAGCTCCCGGGCCCAGTTGGGCTCAGGCAGGCGGCCCAGCAGCCAGCAGCGGTGGTGCCAGGTACCATAGGACTTAGGGTTCACCCGCAGGCAGCTCTCCAGGAAGCTCAGTTCAGCTTTCACCAGAGCGTCCAATTCCTCGGGGGACCTGTACCCACAGGGGAAGGTGAGTCAGGGCCCTCCTACACCCAACCTCAGCTCACCCTTAACTTTCTGCACCCAGCCCTCCACTGCCCCCAGTCTATGCTCCTGGCTGCCCCATTTCTCTTCCACCCCTGGACCCAGGCAGGACAGGGGCAGTCTTCCTGGGACCCCAAACCCCTACACACTTCTGGGCCTCCAGCTCTTGGAGCACCTCTCGTCGGCAGTTCCAGAGGGTGGCAAAATCAGGGTTGGCTCCCAGAATCTGGCTTGTCAGTTCAAGCACTGACTCATCTAGCTCACCAGCCTGGCGCTGAGAAGATAGATACAAAGGTCAGAGATCGTATCATTCTCCCACTGTAAGGCTAAGTAACATAAATTTAGAACCATCCAATATTCTGTCACTCGCATACTACACAGCCCATACTATGAACCGTGCTTTACAGTTTTACAGGTATTCTCTCATTTAATCTTCACAACAGTCTTATGAGGTAGCTGCAATCATTAGCTCCATTTTACAGGTGAGCAAACTGAGGCCCAAAGAGATTCAGTAATTTGCCCAAGGTTACACAGCTAGTAAAAATTAGAATCCAAACTTGGATCCAGGCAGTCTAACTCTAGGGCCCCACTCTTGGCCTCTGTGCTACGGGCCACCTGGGGTGGAGGCTACCTCTGAGGGCCCCACCTTCTGGAAGACGGCCTGGGTGGCTGACTGGTATAGCTTCAGCTTTTGCTCCCGCTCTAGCCTTTTGGCCTCCGCCTGCTCTTCTGATGTCTTCACCTTCAGGCGCCCGTGCTACAAGGATGAGGAGGTTGGAAGGGTGCAGGTTGCCTTGCAGGGGCAGATCTGCAAAGCCTCCCCACTGCGGAGCCCCAGGTTCATATGGGGCAACCAAGGTAGGGCCACTCGGGGTGAGGGCGTTTGCATGCAGAGATGAGGGGCTGGGCTCAGGGTTCTCACCATCGTGCCGGCTCAGGGTTCAGGGCAGGGGAACGGTCCAGTGGCAGCCTGTGAAGTCTGGGGAGAGAGGTGTCAATCACGGAGCCCCGCCCCTACTAGCTCCGCCCAAAGCTGTGCCCAGGAAGCCGCACGTGTTCCCTGGGCAGACACCCCCGCGGGTGTAAAGGGGTCCGGGGACAGGTATTGCAAGTCCAGGAGGAGGCGACCTCCCAGACTGGGACTTCCACCTGCGTGGCCCATCCATAGCCCGATCCGTCGGGGCCGGAGCCCGATCCGGGGACCTAGGCGATGGGGACCCCTCCGCGCCCATGAGGCTGCCGCTACCCGCCCGCCCCACGGCTCCCAGGCACCCCCGCCCCGCTCGGGCGGACCCACCTGCACGGGGAGGAGGCGCGGGGGACGCGGAGCTGCGGCGTCCGCCACCGAGCCCGGGCGCTGGCTAGAGCGGCGCCACGCCCCGGCTCACGGAAGCGCAGCGCCCTCTGCAGGCCTGGGGAGGGGCCCCACGGCCGGGGGGCGGGAGGGGGGGCCGGCTCGGGAGGCGCGTGCGCTGGGCGGAGCTCTGTGCTCGCGGTCCGGAAACGCCAAGAAGCTGTCAGCTCCCTGGCATGTACGAGTGCGCACGCGCAACTATGACTGGTGTGTGAAATGAGTAGGGGTCGTTCTCGTTGGCGACTCAAACTGCAACCTAGTTGAAGAGGTTCCTCCGACGGCTGGAAACCCACACCCTCTCTACTCCACTGACTTCATTCTGGCCTCACCGGGCCCACCACTAGTTGTCCAATCTAACAGAGTTTCCTGTCCTTATCTCCTCTGACTTTTGCAGCATTTGATGCTACTGGCATCCTTATACTTGACATCTCCATCCAGGCTTCTCCTGCACCTCGGCATCTCTCTTCTCATGATATCTCCCCCTCTAAAAGTTGGTGGTCTCCAGGACCCTTTTCTCACCGCCTTTTACTTCACACACTCTTCCTGGGAGAACGTTTAAAAATCTAAGCCTTCGGCCGTGCGCGGTGGCTCACGCCTGTAATCTTAGCACTCTGGGAGGCCGAGGCGGGAGGATCGTTTGAGCTCAGGATTTCGAGACCAGCCTGAGCAAGAGTGAGACCCCGTCTCTACTAAAAATAGAAAGAAATCAGCTGAACAACTAAAAATGTATATAGAAAAATTAGCCGGGCATGGTGGCGCATGCCTGTTGTCCTAACTACTCCGAAGGCTGAGGCAGTAGGATCGCTTGAGCTCAGGAGTTTGAGGTTGCTGTGAGCTAGGCTGACGCCACGGCACTCTAGCTGGGGCAACAGAGTGAGACTCTGTCTCAAAAAAAAAAAAAAAAAAAAAAAAAAAAATCTAAGCCTTCGACTACTTAGAGTTGGAGCTCTTGAGAGCTCTTTGTTTGGGCCCACAAGTCTTCTGGCACCACACTTTCTCTGGGTGACTTCATCTACACTCACGGTTTTAATTACTACCTATAAATTGATGACACCCAAATTTATATCTCCAGCCAAGGTATCTTGTGAGTGTAAATAATGATAAATAATGTACAAGCACACACATATTCAGAAGCCTGTTGGATATCACATGGGTGTCCCAGAGACACCTCAAACTCCAAAAGTCAAAAGGTATCGTTGTCTCCCATCCATCCTGTCTAAATACTGATCTTTATGTTTCCTATTGTAGTGAATGGCATTATTTCCTTCCCACTTCTTAATCTCTCTTAACTGCCATTCCCACTGCCATTAAGAGTTCAAGCTCCTTATTTCTTCCCTGGATTGTTGAAAGTCTTTTCAATGTTCTCCATCTCCAACCTCTCCCCTCTGTTATCAGTTCATCCTCTGTGCTGCTGAATCGATCTTAATAAAATGCAGATTTGATGTCATATCTCTGTGTAAAAGCTCTCAGTGGCTCCTTTTCAAGACAGAATTTGAATTTCTCGGCTTAGCATATTAGGCCTTTTGGCACTTGGGTCCTGCCCACTATCAGGCCATATGCCCTGCCTGACCCTGTTCAAAATTTTTTATCACAGCCTACAGAACTTCTAGCAGTTTCCTAAACATATTAGCCTATTTCTTCTTCTTGACTCTCCTTCCTTCACACTCCTCCTTGCGACAGTAACTCCTGTTCATCTTTAAGATTTAACTCAAGTGTCACCTCCAGGAAGTTCTCCAAAATGCCCCAGTCTGATTGATAGACCTTCACATGTGCTGTCAAAGATAGCTTCTTTCCCTGTACCTACTATAACTCTTGGTTTGTGTGACAGCATCTCTTATCAGATTGAAAGTTCCTGGAGGACAGGAACCATACTTTTCTATCTTGCCTCTCTGATAACTGGTCCTGGCTCTCAGTAGTTATTCGGCAGTAATTTGAATGAATGAATAAAATACCACATAGTGAAGGCTGGCCCGAATGGGCCTAACAGTGAATGATGTTGGCATTCAGGGATGGGAGAGATCCATATGGCCTGGACCAGCTCAGGAAAGTTTCCTGGTGGAGACTTCATGGGGTTCAAGGTGGCCAGTGAAAGTGTGCGTGTGTGTGTGTGTGTGTGTGTGTGTGTGTGTGTGTGAGAGAGAGAGAGAGAGGAGAGAGAGAGAGGTCTTTTTGAATAGTGTGTGTTCCTGTGGCATGTGTGTGTTCATAACTCACACCTGGGTAAGAAGGTAGTGCTTTAAATATTTATATATCTTTTACACCTCTCTTAGCCCCTGGAAATGTGTGTAAAGTACTCAGTATATGCTCTGTCTTTTCCTAGGTTCTATAACAAGTTAAAGTGGAAAAGAGACACTTTTCCTGGTCTTGTGTACCGGTAGTCTCAGTGAGGAAAGAGTTACATTCCTTATTGGCTATGGCTGTATCAGGCACTGTGATGGGAGCTTTGCATATATGAGGTATGTGCACATGTGCAGGATCACATATGGGAGGCAGTAAGTGTAGTTAAAAACATGGACTCTGAGTCTCAGCTGTCTGGATACAAATCCTGGCTTTGCCACTTACTAGCTGTGTGACCTGGGGCAAGTTATTCAATTTCTGTGTTGAGTTTCCTCTGTGTCTCAATTTCATTTCTTTTCTTTCTTTTTTTCTTCCTTTCTTCCTTCCTCCCTCCCCCCTTCCTTCCTCCCTCCCTTTCCTTCCTTCCCCCTTTCCTTTCCTTTCCTTTCCTTTCCTTTCTTTTCTTTTCTTTTCTCTCCTTTTATTTTATTTTATTTTATTTTCTCTGTTGCCAGGGCTACAGTGCCATGGCGTCAGCCTAGCTCACAGCAACCTCAAACTCCTGGGCTCAAGCGATCCTTCTGCCTCAGCCTCCCGAGTAGCTGGGACTACAGGCATGCAACACCAAGTCTGGCTAATTTTTTCTGTTTTTAGTAGAGACAGGGTCTCACTCTTGCTAAAGCTGGTCTCGAACTCCTGACATCAAGTGATCCTCCTGCCTCGGCCTCCCAAAGTGCTAGGATTATAGGCGTGAGCTACCGCACCCAGCCTGTGTCTCAATTTCTTCAACAGTAACATAGGAAAAATAATATTATCTAGCTGCTAAAGTTGAAGTTAAGATTAAGTAAAAGAATCTATGTAAAGTGCTTAGAACGGTGCCTGTACTAAGGGCTCAGTAAATAGTAATCATAGCAATAATAATAATTGTTATTATTTCTAATCTTCATGACAAATATGCAAGGAAACTGAGGCTCAGCAAGATTATGTAACTTGCTGAGGGCCACCCATGTAGTAAGTGACCAAATAGGTCCTGTATCTGATCTGGTCCAGCCCTCCCACCTCACCACAAGCTTGTGTTTTTCTTGGTCACCATCTGCTCTTGTTTCCTGCTCAGTACACACTCATGTGTACAACTGGGTACCTGGGAACACAGATGCCCACAGGTGCAGACTTGCCAGGTACAATCTTACATCATAGTCACTAAGGGAGGAGGAAAGGGGGCGGATGAAGGATAAAACAAGCATGAAACATTTTTTAGTGTTTGGCAATCTTGAAACTGAGAAGGTTGAGTCAAGCAGGCTTAAGAGAGGAAGTGAGTCTCATGAAAAAATCTGCATCTGAAAAGGCAGGGCCTGAGATTTGGAAAGAAGGGGCAGGAAGGGCATTTCAGGCATGTGACTGATGTGAAGGTGGGGGAGAGGAAGCCAACAACCTTAGATGGCTGGCAGAGGGAAGCTGAGCCAGGTGCCTTTGGAGATAAGAGCAGTGGAATTGATGACAAGGCTCTGGCCTGAAGGCAAAAGGAGCTGGCCTCCTATGTGGGATAAGTGGGGACCATGCAGGTGTCTGAGAGCTGCAATTTGAATAATGTTTGAAGAAGGGATTTTACTCTCCGCTATGTAGAGAAAGGAATAAGCAATAATTGAGTATTGGCACAGCCCCAGACATCTTATTTAATGCACTCACTACTTGTGAGAAGTAGGTATTATTGTCCATAGCAATGAAGAAACAACACATGTAGTGGGTTCACAGAGGTTAAGTATCTTGCCGAAAGTCACTGAGCTGGGAGGACACACAGCCCAGAATTCAAATCAAAGCCATGGTGTCTGTCTGCTGCATAGGTGGGAGCAGCCATTGCCAGAGGCCTGAACTTGAGCTTCTTGAGACCTGGAACCCTGGTCTCTTCCCTCTGCCAGTCCATTCTCTACTCCTGCTCCCAACACACACACTCTCACACTCACACTCACACTCACAATGTCTCCAGGACTCTGAGCCAGTCGTAGCCCAGAGGTGGTTTGGAAGGAGGAAAGTGACCAGGAGCCTGGGATCAGGGCTGCAGTCAGAGCCTGGCTGGAAGCCATGTTCTAGAGGCAGGGGCAGAAGTAGGGGGTAGGCACTGGAGCTATCACTGGGTCGTTTGTAGCGTGTGGCAGTGGGTGCATTCATTCAATCACTTGATATTTATTAACAGCATCAGAGCTGGGCCTAAAGTGTGCTGGGAGCCAGGGATCCAAGGCTGGACCAGAAAGACAGGTCTTTGCTTTCCAGACCTTAACCATCTAGCACAGCACTGTTCGATAGCACTTTCTGTGACGATGGGAATATATAGTTGCCGCTAGCCCCATGTGGCTACTGAGCACGTGAAATGTGGCTAGTGTGAAAGGAACTGAAAGTTTAATTTTGTGTTTAATTTTAATTAATTGAAATTTAACAGGCCGGGCGTGGTGGCTCACGTCTGTAATCCTAGCACTCTGGGAGGCCGAGGTGGGAGGATCGCTTGAGGTCAGGAGTTTGAGACCAGCCTCAGCAAGAGTGAGACCCCGTCTCTACTAAAAATAGAAATAAATTAGCTGGACAACTAAAAATATATATAGAAAAAAATTAGCTGGGCATGGTGGCGCATGCCTATAGTCCCAGCTACTTGGGAGGCTGAGGCAGGAGGATCTCTTGAGCCCAGGAGTTTGAGGTTGCTGTGAGCTAGGCTGACGCCATAGCACTCTAGCCCGGACAACAGAGCCAGACTCTGTCTCAAAAAAAAAATAAATAAATTAAATAAATAAATAAGTAAATTGA